ATCAGGACTTAAATATTATATATTTAGTCTGTTAAAATATATTTTATTAGTTTATAAATTTATATAATTTTATAATTTTGTATGATTTTGTGTATTTGTATATATTTTACGTTAATTATATATTTGTTTTTAATGATGTCTAAAATATTATAAAATAAATTGTGATTTTTACATATTTTATATTCTTTGATACAAAATATTATCAGATAAAATATATATTATTATATGATACATTTGTTATAAATATCAATTAAATAGATATTATTATGCATCATATATTTTTTTAACAGAAAAATTACTATGTAACTTTTAAAAATCGGTTAAAATTACTGTACAAATAGTATATTCACTATACACTTTTTGAAAATTAGTAAGTCACTGTGCAAATACTATTCCTCAAAAATGACTTCGGTTTATATTTTCAAACGTCGCAGCAATTTTTGAAAAAAAGCTTGCCCAAAGTCCAAAAAAAAAAAAACAAAAATTATTCTTCACATGATTCGAAGGGGATTTTTGGTATAAAAGAAAGTGTTTTGTGTGGAGAATATGAAGAGAAAAAAATTTGTGTATTTAAGCTTTCGTTTGAGAAGTTTGTTGATTTTTTAATTTTTTGATTTTTTTATCTATTTTAATAGGGGTTTTTTTTTTAAGCTCCTTAATAATAACAATTTTCTGTATAAAGGACATTAAAAAATGTAATACTGTCTCAGGTCCCTAACCAAAATACCCGCTCATTTTATCAATTTCTTGGACCAAAATACCCTACGTCTGTTCATCTTCAGATGAGTTGATTTTTTTAACCTGTCTACTGGATATTCTCCTTTGTGATGCTGGTACTGGTGTTGGGTATTTTCCGGCGAGTACGAAAACAAATTCAGCAAAACAAAAGCACTAAGTTTGGCAAATTTGATTTTCTGGGTAAACAAACAGAGTGGAGTGGAGTTGATAGATGTATATATATATATATACAATCTGTTGCTTACTGTCTTGACTAGTATATATATGATAATTAATCAATTAAGACCATTTGCAACCATAATTACAATTTTCTCTGTGATTTTCACTGCACTACAAGTTTACAATTTTCTCTGTGATTTTCACTGCACTACAAGTTTACAATTTTCTCTGTGATTTTCACTGCACTACAAGTTTACAATTTTCTCTGTGATTTTCACTGCACTACAAGTTTACAATTTTCTCTGTGATTTTCACTGCACTACAAGTTTACAATTTTCTCTGTGATTTTCACTGCACTACAAGTTTACAATTTTCTCTGTGATTTTCACTGCACTACAAGTTTACAATTTTCTCTGTGATTTTCACTGCACTACAAGTTTACAATTTTCTCTGTGATTTTCACTGCACTACAAGTTTACAATTTTCTCTGTGATTTTCACTGCACTACAAGTTTACAATTTTCTCTGTGATTTTCACTGCACTACAAGTTTACAATTTTCTCTGTGATTTTCACTGCACTACAAGTTTACAATTTTCTCTGTGATTTTCACTGCACTACAAGTTTACAATTTTCTCTGTGATTTTCACTGCACTACAAGTTTACAATTTTCTCTGTGATTTTCACTGCACTACAAGTTTACAATTTTCTCTGTGATTTTCACTGCACTACAAGTTTACAATTTTCTCTGTGATTTTCACTGCACTACAAGTTTACAATTTTCTCTGTGATTTTCACTGCACTACAAGTTTACAATTTTCTCTGTGATTTTCACTGCACTACAAGTTTACAATTTTCTCTGTGATTTTCACTGCACTACAAGTTTACAATTTTCTCTGTGATTTTCACTGCACTACAAGTTTACAATTTTCTCTGTGATTTTCACTGCACTACAAGTTTACAATTTTCTCTGTGATTTTCACTGCACTACAAGTTTACAATTTTCTCTGTGATTTTCACTGCACTACAAGTTTACAATTTTCTCTGTGATTTTCACTGCACTACAAGTTTACAATTTTCTCTGTGATTTTCACTGCACTACAAGTTTACAATTTTCTCTGTGATTTTCACTGCACTACAAGTTTACAATTTTCTCTGTGATTTTCACTGCACTACAAGTTTACAATTTTCTCTGTGATTTTCACTGCACTACAAGTTTACAATTTTCTCTGTGATTTTCACTGCACTACAAGTTTACAATTTTCTCTGTGATTTTCACTGCACTACAAGTTTACAATTTTCTCTGTGATTTTCACTGCACTACAAGTTTACAATTTTCTCTGTGATTTTCACTGCACTACAAGTTTACAATTTTCTCTGTGATTTTCACTGCACTACAAGTTTACAATTTTCTCTGTGATTTTCACTGCACTACAAGTTTACAATTTTCTCTGTGATTTTCACTGCACTACAAGTTTACAATTTTCTCTGTGATTTTCACTGCACTACAAGTTTACAATTTTCTCTGTGATTTTCACTGCACTACAAGTTTACAATTTTCTCTGTGATTTTCACTGCACTACAAGTTTACAATTTTCTCTGTGATTTTCACTGCACTACAAGCTTACAATTTTTTCTGTGATTTGAGTTCAATTATAGTAACAAACCTGCAATTTTCTCTGCACTACACAAAAAATGCAAAGTGAACAAAAAACAGAGCACAAAAACGCAGAAAAACAGAGCACCAAAAAGCAACTCATAACCATGTTGACAGAGAATGAAAAAGCAACTCCAAAAATTAAAATCAACTCCATTGAAAATTCATCAATAACAGATAATGAAAAATTAACTTCAAAAATAAAAAACAACAACACTGAGTTCGTCTCTCTCACATTGATCAAAACTAAAAACAAAAACCTAATTCAATACCTACACGATCAAATCAAGTCAAAAATTGAAAACGTATCTAATTTAACTCCACATGAAATCAAATCAAACACAATGAACCAGATTTCAACTCTTACACGATTGATCAACACCTACAAACAATGAACATGATTTCAACTCGTACAGGATTTCAACACCTACAAACAATGAACAGGATTTCAACACCTACAAAAACCCTAGAAAATCTCCACAAAAATCTGAATCGTTAAGTTCATCCTCACGTAATCTCCCACAAAATATCAATATGATCTTTAGCTGCCAAATTCAAAACAACGTATATTATAAACAAAGGTAAGACAGGTATTTCACACTCTAAAATAACATTGAGGGACCTTAAGCTACAAAAGAACACATTGTGGACCTAATCCATTACTAAAAGTTGGATAGGGACCTTAAACCGATTTTCCCATTTTAATATGGGTTAAAAAGTTTGGTTTGGAAATAATTTTTTAATTTTTAATTTTTTTTGATTTTTTTTTGTAAGAGGAGAGTGTAATGATTATGAGTTAGATATAATATTTTATTTTTTATGGCTAAAATAACTATTTTAGCCTTTCCCAAATAATGCCTAAGAGTCTTATTTTTTTTATCGCATTTTCATTCTATTTTTTATATTCAAATTTGAAATTTTCTAAGTGATATTATTTTCTTTATTCTTATACTTTTATATCTACTTTTTGAGAGATAATCATTATAAAAAAAAGGGATGAAGTACCTCTAATTTTCATTGATTGTTTTGTGAGAAAATCTGTAAAGAAAAGATATTTATTATTGAGTGAGACTCAACAGATAAAGTAAGATTTGTGTAAAATTTATAAGCTTGGTAAAATTTTAGTGGTATATTGATTTGTTTAATAGTGAAAAAATTCTTGAAGATGATCCTTGAAAAGTGGGCGTAGATCCCTATAAATTGTTATGTTTGATTTTCTGTTCATATGTCTTTTACTTTTATATTTGTTATTATTACTCTATTTTTTATTTGTTAAAATTTAAATATTTTAATTATTATATTTAATATTGTGAAATTATTTTTAATAACCCAATTCACCCCCTTATGTGTTGACTCCCTAGGATAACAAATGATATCAGAGCAAGGATTCTAGTTTTTGTGACTTAACTATCTTGAAGTAAATTATGGCAACTCCTAGCTACTCTTTATATGAGGGACAAGCATCCAATAAACCACCATTGTTTAGCGGTACCAACTTTAATTATTGAAAAACTAGGATGACCATAAATATACAATCTAATGATTATGAGTGCTGAAAAATTATTTGTAATAGTCCAAAAATTCCTACCAAATTTGTAGATGACTAAAAGATACCAAAATCTAAAGATGAGTGGACTGAATTTGATACGAGAATGGCTCAAGTCAATGTTAAAGAGACAATAATGTTGAGGGATGATGTGGGTGTATGCAGCAGGCGAGTCACGTGGGAATGAGGGGGTCACATGTTCTCTTGAATTTTTTATTTTTTTTTAGGAATATACCCTATAAAAAATTATATTTTTAACGATTAAATTTTTAGTCTCTAAAAGTCATATTTTTAGTCGCTAAAAGGTTTTTCCTACTAAATAGTTTGGTTGCCAATTTAGTCACGGAAAGACGGTCGGTGAAGGTATTGGCAACTAAAAAAATTTTAATTGCCGAAAGTCCTAAATTGGCGACTAAACAAGCAGTTGCCAAAAGTAAAAGGTATTAGTGACAAAAAAAACTTTAGTCGCTAAAAGGCTAAATTTGCGATTAATTTTTTAGTCGCCAAAAGCTTACAATTAAATTTAACATCACATTTTTAGCTACTAAATTTTTGTTGCCAAAACTTAATTTTTTTTTTTAACTACTAAATCATTAGTCACCTAAAGTCTTTTTTCTAAATGTTTAGTCGCCAAAAAGTTTGTTTTCATTTAATTCTTTTTTTAGCTATTAACTATTTAATCACTAAAAATATTTAATTCCATTTTTGGCTACCAATTGTTTAGTTGCAAAAAATATCATTTTATATTTTTTTTTATCTTAATTAATTTATCCACAACCTGTATGTATCCCACGCAACTTGTAACAAGTATACAAACAAAACAATACATACACGTATTTCACTTACAACCATCCAAAAAAGAGAATAACTTTGAATGTCAAATTTTATATAAACCAAGTATATTCCAACTGAAAATAATAATTTCATACAGAATAAAAAGTAGTACAAAAACCATGTCATCCATAGACAAAAAAGGAATATCTACAATTCCATGCCAACAATATTTGTAAAAAAAAAATAAAAATCATTAGTATTGACCAAATAGCATTGGAATATTTGATAATATAAAAGAAATTTATATAATGCAAAATCTTTGCATTACCCTTGTGGGTCTTCACAAGCAAATAGCACCAAAAAGATAGAGATGCCAAAACCTTCTTGTACATGTCTGTCTGTGAGTTCCTTCTTAACCTCTTCAGTCTTAGGCTGTTAAAAAAATTCACAAAATAGTGAGATTCACATAAAATTATAGTTTTCACCCACTTTATAATATGGCATTCGCTAAAATAATATTCCAAAAATTAATACCCACTTTCAAGTAAAAGTGACTAACTGAAATAAAAACTTGGTCTTTTACAGCTCAAATGAACCTATAGTTACGATTTTCCTCAAATGTTCCACACTAAGAATGACCAAATTTAAGCTAAGCAATATGCAAGACATTTTTCTTCAGAATATATGTACACACATAAAAATTGGAGAGCATTGGTGTGCCTAAAAACAAGTAAACCTCAGCTTTTGCTAGTCTATATGCAACCATCACATATCCAAACTGTGTTAAAAAAAAAGGGCTATGCACTGGGGAACAGTTTCAGTTACAATACCTAATCTTAATTCTTCTGTTTGCCAAAATCCTTCTCACTATTGCAGAGCTCAAGCTGAAAGGCATAGAAAACCAACAAAAGGATAACCACTATGACTATTTTGGTTCAAGATGGTGAATAAATCATCTGAGTGGCCCAGTCATGTTTTGCACAATGGGCATCGAGCACCCAAGTTGAGTATCAAGCACTATGGGTTGTGTGTGAGTGAATTTCTAATCACACTGCCAACTCAATATTCAGCTGGAGAGCTTGGGCAGAATAGATGGCACCTGAGTAACCTGCAACAGAAAGAAGAGATTCCGACGGTGATTCGTCCACCCAGGGACACTCCGATGATCAAGTCAGTTATCTCTCAAAGATAGATCAAGTGCTAAAATCACTATTCAAAATATAAATCGCGTACCTTAGACCCATGGGGGTGTCCCTCTTTTATAGTTAACCCAATCTTAGTCCCAATAGAAGCCTAGCTTCAATGGACTTTAGCTCAGTGCTTATCTTGGACTCTTTAATGGATAAAGATAAACTCCTTAAGAGCTTTATCATTATCTAGGCTGAGGTCCTTCCTCATTCTAGGACTCTTGTCCTTTATCCGCTTATCTCAAATTTTGATATCTCCTATCCGAGATCACCTCGGCGTAACGACCAGGACACGTGGCACCTCGGCTGACACGTCGGCGTCACCTTGGTCACGTGCTAGTACTCAGAAAATATATCCCCACAACTGCCCCTAGGTTCTATTACCTCGGCATGCTGAGATGATGGAACCTATATAAGTATTTTCCTCTATAACGCCGGCTGAGCTTACTTCTTAATTCATTGTCGAAGTAAGAACTCGTTGGCTCAGTATGACCAAGACCCACAGTCTGCTTCTATCCATGCGTCAGAACCATTAACCAGGATTTGTTCAAGTTTCTCAGCCGAGATCATCTTCCAAGCCGAGGTACTGCTCTATGAAATCAAGAATTCCAAGAGCTTTATCACGCGTATGAGCTGTCACGCATGACTTTTCAACCGTTCTTGCCACGCGTCTCTCTCTCTTTGGGTTGTACCTGAAATGCGCCACTAAGTCGAATTGCTCTCGTGTGCGCCGTCTGATACGTATGTCGTTTTAGTCACATTAATTGCCTTTTGCCGCTATTTTTGTGTTTAGACAAAACTTTCTTTCCTCTTTCCATCTCTTCACTTTACACCACCGTTTTTGAAGCTTTTCCTCTCTCTAACTTTTTCTCCTAAGTCTGCCATTGTCACTCCCGTGAAGCTTTCTGCAATTACTTCCGTTCACTCTCCTCCGGCGAGGATTTTTGCTGCACTTTTCCAATTGCTGCCATCATCCGATCTCGGCGACTCTAATGTTCCCTTGTAAGTCACTGTTCCTTCGTTTCGATTTTTATTCTTCCTCAAACTGTTATATCTGTATACTGTAATTGCAATGTTGTTCATTTTTGTCTTTTTTGAATCTAACCATGTATTATGAGCATATTTTCCTCATAATTTTGCTTTTTGCCCAAACCGTTTTTTAATATACACATAATACCCACATATTTATTCATCTGCCACTGTTCTTGGCCTTGCACCCTGGCACACACTCTATCACAGTGTCCTTGATGATTCACCTCTATTCTTGATTTTGAATCATTGTTGTTGTTTCTGTTTGACGTATTTTTTTTTTCTTCAGATTCTTGCCTTCAATCTTCGTTTCCATAGATCTAGGTTTGGGATTTGTTTATAGAACTTACAATTTCTAAGAAGAACTGAAACGATCCCCAAAAATTCTTACCCCAGCTCACTTTTATGTTTTTGCCGAGGTCACTATAACCCCTACAAAACACCTTCTTTTTGAAATCCAACTCCTCCAGGTTAAGCTGACGTTATGGGTATGCGGAAGCATAGGGTAGACACCCCGACCAAGTTAGAACACTTTAGGCGGGAGTTTGACATCCCGGTCAACGTTTATCTGAGGTTGGTTGGAGAGGATGACTCCATCATCCCCACAACTGATTCCATGCCCTTTCCTGTTGTAGCTTTCATTGAGTGCGGACTTAGGCTCCCACTCGACATTCTCTTCTGTGAGATAATCCATTACTATAAATTGAACCCAATGCAGCTTGCCATCAACTCCTTCCGAGTCATAAATGGTATAATAGCCTTAGCCAAACAAGAGAATGCTAGGGTTACCTTAGCCGACATCCAATACTGCTACACCATGTGTGGCCTAAAAAACGAGAAAGACTATATTTACTACCTAAAATTGAGGTCCACAGAGTACAAAATTGTTGCCGACCTCCCAGACTCCAACAAGGGAGCCGGAGATGATTACTTCATTATCTCGGGGAATTGGGAGTTCGCTCCATATGAGGACCTCCACCTTTACCCTCTTCCCCAAACAATTTTTGTAGAGGGTAATGGTAAGAGCCCACTTACTTTGTCTTTAAAGTCTTCAATACTTCATTTGTTCTAATGTCTGTTTTTCTTGCAGCTCTTCCCCAACTAGAAAAAGGCTTCCGCAAGTCCTTTTTCCCCAACAAGGGTTTGAAGAAGCTATTGGATTTGCCAGTCCACAAGCGTAGAGCCCCTTTGGTACTCAATTTCATCCCAACCTACAAATTGGTACTCCCTGACGTCCCAAAGAGAAAGAAAAGCCAATCTCCCCCTTTTGCCACAACTCCTCTAACAGCGTCCTCATCTCGGCCAGATCAAGGATCAACCTCAGATCCAGCAGAGCAGCCATCCACCTTAGCTCCACAACTAATCCCACCATCTCAACGCCGACGACGTCGACGAACTATTTTTGTTACTGAGATAGGCCACTAGAAAGCAATTGCTAAAGACCTCTTGGCCGACATTCCATCCACCGTAGACGCCCAACTAGCACAGTCCCAGCCTCTACTAAAGTCAAAGCCAAAAAGAATAAAGAAGGCTCAGCCAAAGGTAACGGTGACTTAGATTGATATTGAGGACACCTTGCCAATTTCAAAATTGGCTGAGAGTGATAAGTCCCATTCTGCTGCTGAGAAGAGGGCCGTCGAGGCCCAAACCTCTGAATCCACTAGATCAAAGAGGCCAAGGTCATTTTCTGCGACCACCTCGGGGCCATTAAAACATGACTCCCCCTGGGCCTCGCCAATTACAATTGACGACAAGCCGGTTAAGGCCGGTGATAGTGCCAACAACATTGAGGTCGGTGTTGCCCTTTCCACCGCCTTACTGTTGCCCAAAGATCTTAATCGTAATGCTCAGATAAGCGAATACGAAAATTTTGCTCTGATGCTGTAGCATTCCGTTCAAGTAAATTCTATACACTTGATATTTTCTTCTCTTGCTTAGAAAATTTTCTAATAACTTCTGTTTTGTCCATTTTCCTTCAGGCAATCCAGCACGCCCACTCTTTCTCAATGTAATCCTTTGAGACAAGGAAGGAGTTGGCCGACAAGACTAGAGAGGTTGCTAGTCTGCAAAAGGCCAGCAAAAGTTGAGGCAAAAATGAAAACCTTGGCAGACCAGGCCGAGGCTGCTGTTAAAGCCAAAGACGTGGTCGAGGAAAATGCAGATGCTGCTGATGCCATAAATAAGGTTCTTGAGGCCTAGGAAAAAAATGCCGAAGAAAAGACAGTCGAGGCCCAAAAAGAACTCCAAGATGCGTTGGCCACCAAAGAGGCCGAAATCAAGGCCATCGATGAGAAGGCATACAATGAGGGGGTGGCCGATGTCACAGCGGACTACGAGAAACAGGTGAAGCAGGCATGCAACAAGGGTTTCACCCTTGGTTAGATGGCTGTACTAAAAAAGCTTGAAGTCCCTGAGGACTCCCCCTCAGGAATACCAACGTCCTCGCCCTGCCATTCCTCCCAACTCCAAGCCAATCCAACGACGATTCTGAGTTTGAGGAGGAAGCTTTGGTAAGGAAGTCAAAGGAAACTGCTGGGGCCAAGTCCCCTACTCCAAATGAGCAAGTCCTGAACTTGACTCAGGATGAGGAGGGTGGGGAGGTTCCCAAAGATGCTACTCTTGAGAAGGCATCATCGGACGCGCCCGTAGCCGACAAAAGCCTCGACCAAACCCTTCAAGAAATAGATGCCGAGCTCGCAGCTGAGAAGACCGCCGAGATGTCTTCTCAGCAGTCTTCTAAACTCCGGACCCAACCTCCTCAAGATGCTGAAGAGTCTTAGTTTTGATGTGTTTTCTTTTGCTTCTGGTATTTTGTACTTTTGTTTTTCTTCGAAACAATGTAAGCTCTCCATGTGGCCGACATTCTATCTTTTGACTGTAAATATAACTTCCTCTTTTGAATGCTTGTATGTTTGTCTTTTTTATACTGTCTTGTATGATTCTCTACTTAGAATAATTTAGATGTCTTCAATGTACACCTTAACTGTGTAAGCTTCTCGGGGTGAAACACCTTGATTTATATCCACCAATGGTTTACATTGGCAAATACATAAGTACTTATTTTAATACAAACTTTAACTTGTAAATTTTTTCACAAATTTCAACAAGTGTTCAGTTTAACTTCAACTTGTAAATTTTCTTAAATTTCAACAAGGGTTAAGTTTAACTTCAACTTGTAAATTTTTCTCAAGTTTCAACAAGTGTTAAACATGATCT